TGAGCATAGAAGATCCGCTTTCTCTTTTGCAGTATGGGCCATCGATTCGTCGCCATTGTGCAGGGGTGGAAGGGATGGCTTACAAAAATTTCCTTCAACAGCCTTGGCAAGAGACCAAAACGCGCGTGTTCCAGAGGGAAGTTTTATTAATCTCCCGCCAATGCTGCTAATGTGCTCTGACTTCGCTCTGACAATTACTCTTTTGCAGGACCTGGAGGCCAAGTTATACTTCTTTTTGAGATCGCTAGTGTTGTTATCCCCGACCGCCGCTGCGTTTGCCCAGGCCTGATAACACATCTGTTTTTGACGAGATGCCAGTTTACAGTAGTGACCAAACCAAGGCTGGGATTTGCCACCAATGGGAACCACAGAGGAAGGAACAAAAAGTTCCATACCCTGAAGGAAAACATCGGCGACAGAATCGGCAGCGACGTTGGGATCATTCTGCGAGAAGCAAACCTGGCCCCAAGGGTAGGATGAAAGGAAAGTGCGCATCCCATCCCAGTCTGCTGACTTATAGTGCCACACACGACGACAGTCAGCAAACTGCGGCCGCGGTGAGTAAGTGAGTGGCACTATACTCCGGATTAGACAATGGTCCGAGGAGCCAAGAGGGGCATCTATGGACACTTTGTAATTATCCGGATGTGAAGTCAGCAGAAGGTCCAACAGTGAAGGTGTATGGTCTTCAACATCTGGGATTCGCGTAGGCGAGGTGACCAGTTGTGTCAGACCATAGGCTAAGGCGAAGTCATGAGCAGATCTGCCTGCATGATCGGTAGTGGGCGATCCAAGCCATTCGGAGTGGTGGGCATTGAAATCGCCAAGGATCACAATTTCAGATGATGGGATCTGCTGCACGGAGTCTGTAGCCACCTGGACGTGATCAAAGAGTCGGTCAGTTTCAGCATTTCCGCTATGGGACCTGTAGAGGCAGGCGTAGACGCGGGGATGGTCATCGACGTCTACACGCAACCATAAGATGGAGAGGTCCCTACCTTCAAAGTTGCTGAAGCGACGGAAACTGATACCCTCTTTAACGTACACACATACCCCAGCCCGTGGTACAAAGGAATGTTCCAAAGTATACCCAGGGTACTGGAGGTAGGAGGTGACGGCTGGAGAGGATATGCTGCGTCTCAGTCAAAAAAAGCAAGGCCGGCTGCACTGTCTGAAGGTGGTAGTGAACAGCATTAAGGTTAGAGTGTAAGCCCCTGATATTGCAGAAATCCACGTTAAACATGGCAGGGGGTGACGTATGATGCTTGCTCTGGCCTCGAGCAGTTTCAGTAATGAGCGCGGTTTCGCCCTCCCCAGAATACGAAGGGCAGCCTCGACGTCCACGTCCAGAAGGAGACAGTTCTGGGCATAGAAACCAGAGGGGGATTCTCCAGCGTGAAAACAGCTGGTACCCCCCTGGGGTATTATCCTATTTAACTGCGCCATCATGAGGAAAACGGGGGGGGGGGGGGGCTCCGGTAGCCTCACTCACTCGGCGAAACACAGTACAAAGTACTGCTTCACGCCGGTATTCTGTGAGGTCGTGGTATTCCTCCGGTCGAGCCGGCCCATTCATGCAGTAGCCTAAGCTACTGCGTGGCTCTCCCACGAGTAGCTTAGGCTGATAATGGTAATGGTAAATTTTATTTTCAGGATGCGATAATTACCTTCTGCATCTGTTTTGTATGAACCTGTATTAATTCCAGGTAATTTCAGCTAGAAGTTGAGTTTGTTAATATACATATTTTATATTGCCATGTGTTATGCAACTTGGCCCTTTTGCTTTGTTGCTGATAGTTATTCTTTGTTAAATTTTGTTAAATTTATAGCGATATAAACGCAATGAGCAACAATCAACAAATAATGTCAAGTAGCCACAAAAGTTAGATGTATTACCAAATTTTACCAAAGTAGTAATGGTGTGTAGTGTTGCTCTTTAAAAGTTTATTGCGGTGTGGATGCACGGTTAAGGCTTGATTTGTGTTTATTTGTTGTTTTGAATATTGTTTAGGTTATGTTAAAGGACATGGCTAAGAAACTGCCCTTAACATGTATAATGATTTCGCACTAGCCCGTAACATTTAAATATTTTTTTATTAATTATGCCGTGTTTATTATTCTCATAGAACTTTCGTGAAATAATCAAAGGATAAAAAAATATAAAAATAGACTTCATGGCTATTCCAAAAGGACTATGTTCCGTTTTTCAAAACTAAATAATAAATCTACATTAAAATAATTTGTGCAAGTATATTGAAATAAACTATATTAATTTCAAATACAATCAATACTAAGTCCTATTTTTTTTTTATAAAAAAATAATGGAAGCTTAAAATAATAGATTTTATTTTTCTGAACAGACTTCAGCTAGGGCTATATAGGAATTACTCCTTTGATTTTTGGAAATGAACAAAATATAACTTTATAGATTTCCTGTAAGGCCGATGACACTGTTTACAAATTATTTGTTAATTAGAGAAAGGGCAGGAAAGATTCTTAAATAATGCGAAATTGATGGCTCTGTAAATAATTGGCAATATCTTTTATCAAATGTAGCAAAGTAACGAAATTAGAAGTAAGTCTCATAATTTTCAAGATTGTTACTTTATCAATTCGTTCATGAGCCTTTTTTCATAGAAATTATAAATATTCAGCCATTCAGCATGATATATTACCAATTACAATATTTATACATTGCTAGGGCAGTCGCTCATACTAAATTTTACCATGTCCTTTACATAAACATATTTACATAAATATTATGTAAACTGCTTTGAATTTATGATATATAAAGTTTTTGTAAAATTTTTTTTACAATCTTTTATTTTCTATCTCTGAATCTAAATAAATCGATTAAAGTCTACTTGCAGCAATTTTGCTAAATCTCGATTCAGATGTAGCCGATACTAGATTGTTAAATTGACATTTTGTCACTTCTATGGGTTAAATCGAGATTTTGCAAATTTGCTGGAAGTTGCTATTTATATATAATCATTTTTTTTTCAGTAAATATGAATTGAAAATTTCGCGGTATTGGTATTTTAAAAAGCCCGCCTAAATACTGTTTGAGTGAACCCCAAGCAGTCATATTAAGCTTAAGGAAAAATTAAAAAAAAAAGTGTCAAACTGTAAAGTACCGTCCCTGTATTGGTTCTTCGAGGAAAGATTCCCGTTTGATGCGTAGTATGTAGTAGTTTGTGCATGACATCCAGTGTGACCAGATTCAGTATTTTAATACTTTTTCAGTATATTTCATAGATTTTTCAGAACATCAGTATATTTTCAGGTATATTGCTGGCAGTCAGTATTTTTGGGTATATTTTGGTAGAAGTTATGGCAACACCGTAGTGAGTGATCGTCTTTGCGACAATGTTTGCGGAATGAGGGCTATCGCGTATGAACCCGCCGCTAGAGGCGCTAGTGTAGCGTGAGGTCTCCGAAATGTCAAATGTTATTGCTTGTTGGTTGTCTACGCGGGTTTATTTCTTATTAAAATAATGTTGTGAATAATTGGTAACAATTCGGCTTAATTATGGCAAATATGAGTTATGTGGCAATGAATGTCAGTTATTAAAAATTTGAGCTTAGAAAAATGATTATGTTCCCATTTTTGAAGTTATACTTCTTTAGGCGCGTTATGAAAAAATGATGAGAGTGAAATTTTAAGATGCGCGCGCATCACTGTAACACAAAAAATTAACAGCATGAAGTTGGTCGCTTTAGCGACCAACTTCATGCTGTTACTTTTGTGTCTACCGCACATTAAGGAAATCTACCAACAAAATAGAAATAGAATCTCTATTTAGTGGGTGCTAACGACTGCATTGTGAAGGCCTATCAAAAGTATTTATTAATCTGGAACAACGGAACCAAAGCGCGATTCAGGAGACTACAGCGTCATCTCTTTACCATTGGTGTAGTAGAACCAAAAACCACATCTTTATTTTTTGTAATAAAGTAACAAAAAGTATTTATTAATCTGGAACAACGGAACCAAAGCGCGATTCAGGAGACTACAGCGCCATCTCTTGACCATTGGTGTAGTAGAACCAAAAACCACATCTTTATTTTTTGTAATAAAGTAACAGTTATAGGTATTCATATTTATAATATTTATCCACATGTTTCTAGTTTGTATATTCGGAATACGTGTTTGAGTTTCATACAAGTGCAAATCATATATGTTCTAATAAATTATATTCAGTAGCGATTTTAATTGAATATTTTGATTATTTATTTATTTTTTCAAATTAAAACTGAACTTTATTGACTGTGTCCTTTTCCAGACTTCTTATTAATTTATTGTAATTAATTATTTGCATGCAATTAAAAACTAATTTTAAACGATGCCAAAGAAGGATAACTTCTCACGCGCCTACATAAGTACACGCACCCATTTTTTTCCGAATAAAACGGAACTGGGCGTCACTGTGGCAAGGCCTATTATGTTTAGGATATGGTTCTTTTGTGTTAAAATACGATCTAAATGTAACCTTTGATTTCATGTGCGTATTAATAAACTTTAAAAGTTACAATTTAGGACCTCACTCAACAGTGGTGCCATCTGGTGAGACAGAAAACGGTAGCCCTCATTCCCCGGAATGCGAACATTGGGGACTTCCCCGGATTTAGTTTACCTATACTTATACATGTTATCTATGAGTAAATTACAGATATGACAAGAAAGACGACCGTTGTCGGCGTTGTAGTATTGTAATACTACATATACAATTATCAATCAATACATAGTATTAATCGGACTTGCAGAATGTATGTTCGCCTAAAACTTTACAACTGCTGGGCCGATTTTAATGCGGTTTGCACTATTAGATAGAGCATGAAGAAATGAAGGAGGTTCTGTAAATTTTAATCCTTCGAAAAGGATGTTAAAATAAAACTCTAACATTTATTGTGAGTACGTATGAATAAATAAAATGTGTTAAGAAAATCAGTATTTTTATTGGTATATCTGTCCTATGTAAGTCGGTATATTTCAGTATTTTTTTGAGGTGCCTCGGTATTTTCGTAAAATTTAATCTGGTCACACTGATGACATCGCTTCCCTTGTTTCGACGGACTGTGTGCGGTTTGTCTTGTTGAGTGAGTTTCGTTCGCTTTTATTTTATGACTCGTGTCATTGTATTTGTAATCGCGCTGCGCCAAAGTAATGAGCTTAATCTAATTACTTCGAGGTGGATGTGGTAAACGCGAGTGTTTTGTCGCAGTGCAGAGCGGGCGTGCATCAGGTGGGTTTGTTTACGCGCGCCATGTGATGTGACGGCCAGCTACTACAACTGCGTATCGGCGCGGCGCGGCGCGGCTTCGTTCACGGAACACGGACACGGAGTCGCTCGCGGACCGCTGATCCGCGGCCACGTGCTCTTCGCCGTTATCCGATTAAGTGTTGAGGTGGCGCGCGCTAGGACGGTGTATCGTGACGCTGGTGTCTCGAGCTGACGGTATATTTCTGTGCGCAGGTCTGTCAGAGCCGCAGCGACGACATGAGGCCACACGACGATATCAGAAATGGCGATGGTGAGTTGCAGTGCGTCGTTACATGCCTTCTTGATAGACAGGTCAATGTCAACAGTTTTTCTCAACATAAACATTTAGGAAGCTGAAAGAAACTTGACATGTTTAGATCAGATTAATAGAACAGCACGCATTATTCTTGTTAAAGTCTATGAAAATGAAACAGTTTTACAGTATTCAGTTGTGTTCAGGTTTATTGAAAATTTAATTGACTTGCCCAACAATTGCTATGAACTGTTGAAATTTGTCAGTGACGGGCAGTCAATTGAACAATTGAGGGACTATATAAATCTAGTATTGGTTGCCTAATACTTCTGGACATATCTGGATTTAAAAGTATTTTAGTTCTTACTGAGTGACTATTGGTGTTGCTTTAAGATAACTATAGGATTTGTGTCAAGGCACAGTTTTAGATATCAATTGTTTTTTTGTTATCTATTTACAGTTGTCTGTTTTGTTAGTTAAGTAATGGAAAAGCTTGTGTCCAAAAGATATGAGATTTAAAAAGGACACATGAAAATTTTGTATTAAATATAATGGACTCGACAGCTTCGATTCAAAGTTGGCCCCTAGCCCCGTTTGATATTTTTCACACATTAAAATATTTTAAAATACTATGATGAAGACTTGTATCAAACAAGTAGCTGAGGAAACAAAAAACTAAATATATAAACATACTTTATTGTTATTTATCATAGTAAATCACCTTAGCCCTGACATTCAGAACCATGTTTGTGTTCATTATACTTATACTTTGTGTGCAAATTTTTACACTGATGTTTTAATTTTGACATGTATTTTATTAGCTGGTATTATTCAGGACTGTTTTAAAAAAACCTTAACTCTTACTACTGTTTTCTTAAGACTAGAAAACAAAATACCTAACCTGATATGTTTGAGACTTGACAGTAATGTAGCTATAACTATTAATTTGCATTTGGATGATGGATAAATAAAGAAATTTTATCAATGAAAACAATATATTTTTAATAAAAAAGCAAAATTTTATGGTTTTAAACAACACCTGACTTCTGGGCATTTATAAGGTATAAAAAGACTTGCGGAGTTACAGTTGCTCATATTTTCCAGGTGAAATCTTATATCTACCCTTCACAAATGTATGTGATGGATTATTATGGATTGTTTAGACTATCTCTAAAATATCTACTAAATTCCAATAAATTACTTGTTATAGTAGTTCTTTTTGTTAAACCCTGGTACACTATTGTAGCCTTTGTTTATGCTTATTTACTTTTTGGGTTTGTATTACTGTAAAGTTGATCATGTCATAATATAGCTACCTAGCTATCTGTAGCAAGATGATGGGGAGCAGTTAATTTATGTAATGATTTAGCACTTTGTATATGTGCCTATACTTGGCTATTTATTTTAAGTTTGCATGCTACTAAAGCAGTTTGTGACTACAGTTTAAATTGCTAAAGATACACTTATTACTCTTTTCAAGGTTCCATAATAGCAGTTATATGATGCTGACAGTTTTACAATAAAAGTAACTTGTTTCTTGAGATGATTTTTACTAGAAACCTGTCTGAAAACCTGAACTGAGTTGATTTTTCTCTAGTAAACATTTTCTTTTGGTTTATAAATGTAGCAGTTAAATTCTTAGAATAACAATATAACTTGATTCTTGTGCTTTTTATTTGTGCTAAACTGTTTATATTATCTATATCCATATCTTCTGATTGGACTTTTGAAAAACAAAAAGTTGTCAATGGTAATTGTTTCAATTTAGAGCATTACTATGCATTAATAACATAAATGCTAAAGGAAGTTATTGAGGATATAACACAATTATATTTCTGTGATGGATTACTATGCCCCTTTAACACTTAATTATGTTTGACTTGGTCAGAATGCATTAGATGCTGCTTGCTTAAGCAGCTGTTAAAAGACAGGATTTTTAAAAAAATTGTTTTAGTCTAATAATGATAGGATGGAAACTTATTATTATTATTTATAACAACTACTTACAAGATGTTAGTAATATTTGTCTATTTGAAAGCGTCCCACTTTAGATGCCGCTTACCTCAAAAATGTTACATAGTTTGACATCATGTTTATGTCGGTATGGTTCAGCATCCCTAGCATGGCTATCAAAATGCGATATGATAAAGCGATTTACCGACATTGCGTGACAAACTACAAAGTATTATGTTATGACGGTTGAATTTCAATAAAGGTTTTCACATATGTGACCATGAGACCCATAGTGGCCTAATTCATTTTTTAACCATAGTGGCCTATCTTACTTAGGCCAGTATGGCATCTCGAATTTAGATTACAGGCTAAAAACCATAACAGTGATCATACTGCCTCTAGTGAATATTTGTTGTATCATTTTTAGACCACTCTGGTTCTATCAAAATGATCAATTTGAACCGGAAATAATCATAAACTCAATATTGTAAAAAAATAGTTAGGCCACCATGGTTCTCATGGCCTCATATCATATTTAATATATGTTAGAGGGGCTGATCAGCACCAGCCCTTCTAACATATATGTGTTCTGAGTGGGAAGTGTGCACACAGACAGGGGCGCGGGGTCCCGGCCGTGCAGCGTGTCGGGGTCGTCGGAGGGCGGGTCGGTGGGGTCGGTGGGGTCGGTGGGGTCGGTGGGGTCGGTGGGGTCGGGCGACGAGGGGGAGGGCGGTGCGTCCGGGGACGAGGTGTCGCTGGTGGACGAGGGCGCGCCGGCGCGGGTGCTGTCGGCGCTGAACGCGCTGCGCAAGTCGCGCCAGCACTACGACGTGCTGCTCGTCGCCGACGGGGCCGAGGTGCCCGCGCACCGCGCCGTGCTCGCCGCCGCCTCGCCCTACCTGCTGGAGGCGCTCCAGGTAAACGGTCTTCTAGTTTTGTAGTTACTCTACTACTCTATGTTCTCATTCTGAAAGGAAACGAGGAACGAGGCTCTTGATGGATCCTTCAAAAGCATGCTTTTCTTAAACTAGCTCTCTTTTACACAGCAAGTTTTCCAATTATTATGTCTTAAAGGATAAATGATAATAATCGTTAGCAATTTTATGAGAGATAAAAGAGAAGCTGCGTTTGCAGACTAAAGGTTGTTTATAAAGAACGCAAAACTAAGCAATTGAAGACTTCCCAGCATTGAAAATTTATAGGAGTTATTTATTAGATTACGGACGATAAATCTTATAAGCGTTATACATATTTGCAAACAAGTTGTTTGATAATCACAAAGATTAAATTATACTTTCCTTTAGCAAATTAATATGTTATGTGTTTTATTAAATACATCGCTCCTCGCTGTCTGTGAGGTATGCGCAGCCCACCTACGCCTCTAAAATCGACCCTGATATAACGCTTCCTTACATCTATTTCACGTTAACTCGTCCTGCTCGGCATTAAACTAAGAGAGGGCACTGCGGACTGCGGGGTCACCGCACGAATTAGCGAGCTCGTCGGGACGATTATCCTGTCTGCTTATATACCTGCAGATTTCTGTTGCCAGAGTTCTAGGGATTTAGGTAACAAGGTCTGAATGACTTTCGTCCTCGGGTACTGCCAATGGTCGCGTGACAGATATTATCGCCTGTATCTAAATCTCTTAGCACAGGGGCCTTCTACAGTTTGCCTATTCTATTTATCAAATTGTGTTGCTAACGAACTTCATTAGAGCTCCTTTGCACGAAGTTAGGCATCGATAATTGCCGTTTATACAATAATGTCGCGGTGGGCACGACCTTTCCATTTAATTGTTATTTTCCTTTTTCCTTTTTCATGATTCTATTATCTACTAAGCACGGATTCAAGGTAAAAGCTCATTATAATAATCTATTATCTCTTCCACGGTTTTCTTATTTATAGAGAATGTTAATTCCCGATGTATTTTCTATTGTTTCCCCCCATATGTTATCTAATCATAGTTTGAGCTGAGTTTGAGTGATAAGACAAAGTACGAGGCGTATAATTAAATTAATCTAATGAAATTACAGTTTGTTATATGAGGAGTTAAGTCTGTAGATTTATATCGTCTTATTGAGAATGTTATGTATGAATTAATATTAGACAACATCATATACTTACATTGACATACTAACCTTAAGTAGTCTGTATCATCAAAGATATTGATTTTTTCATAGTCTCGTGTACTTAAAAACGTTACTCAGTGTCCTTGGGGACGTTACAGGTTACATTATGTGATTGACGTGGCCGCTAATTCAGCGAGGCCGAGAAGGGAAGTATTTTTCCCTGTCTTGTCTGCTAAATGCGTAAATCTTTGCTTACGTAAAACCTACATTGTCGCTTAATAATAAAATGATACGCTAGACTATTCGATGATTAGGTGATGTAATATTCTTTTCCACGTATATAAATAATGACATTGAAATAGTTTGTAATTCTCATATTTTTCTGTGCTTTACCTACTTTCAACTGAAAGCGGTATAGCATTATTTATTTATACAAGGTCATCCCTCATTAAAGCAACACTATTTGTTTTATATGGACTTCTATGAACTTGAGTTCACTAGATCTACACCGGATTGCCTCGCTTGTAAGGTGTAAGGTGACCAGTAAGAGAGTGGTCCACTTGGTAGCAACACTGAATTTGCTGCTCGTACACGTGTCTCGCGTTGGCCGTACGCACGAACGTTCAGTTCACTCTGAACCCGTACTTTAGGATTCAGAGTAAACCAAAAGTTGACCAAGCAACTTCCGCCCGTGTTTCATTTCAATGGATTTCGATACGCGGTAAACGTTAAGAACTTTTGTATGGGTGATTTTCAACTATAGTTACGTCCGTTGCGGCGCTGTTGAAATTTCCATGCAAAACTTCTTGATATTTGACACATATTTAGATGGAATGCAACAATTCGAATTCGATATAGGTTCTTTTCTCGTGTCACTTAGTCCATTCTGGACGTGTTGTGCGTCCGTAGAGCGAGGCGTCTCACGCGGTGCACCGCGTGGAGGACGTGTCGGGCGAGTCTCTGCGCGCGCTCGTGGAGTACGCGTACACGGGGCGCGTGCGCGTGCGCGGCGCGGGGGCGGCGCGGCGGCTGTACGCGTGCGCGTGGCGGCTGCGTGTCGACCGCGTGCGCGCGCAGCTAGCCACACGCCTGCTGCGACAGCTCGCACCCGCCACCTGCCTGCCGCTGCGCGCGCTGCCCGACCTCGCGCCCGACCAGCTGCAGGCCGTGGACCGCTACATCGCCGCGCACGTGAGTATACCGTATTGTGCAGCGCGCGCGCGCACCTAGCGCCATAACGGCCATGATATATTATTCAGTTCGTTTAGTAACTAGCTTCTCGATGACAAGTATTCATACATCGTATTTTCGAAAAATATCTAGCATCAAAAGAAATCAGTTCATTTTTAAATAATACGAATAGAGCTACTGAAATCTTACCAAAAATCATTTATAAGTGCAATGAAAAGCAATGGCCCCAAATGTGAGCCTTGCAGAACTCTACGTATCTGCTAGAAATTACATATTATATGTTGAAGTGTTAAGATCGGACCCGAGATGGGAGACTTTGGAGAAATAGGTATTTGAAAAAACTATTGCTGTCCCGCATTAGCAAATATCGAGCGATAGGGACAACGGTAGTTGAAGCTGAAAATTGCATATAAAAATTGTAAAATTCGTGGTTTGGCTCTCGACGATTTCCTCCTCGAAAATTAAATATATGTGAAGAAATTTCACAAAAAGAATAATAAGTAGTAATACTATGCCTCTATGTTTTGTTTTATGTTTGTAAATGCTTATTAAATCTCCACACTAGATGTCTTTATCGGCGATAAAAAAATGTTTATTTTGACCTATTCGAGGGCTTCTAAATTTTTTTAAACATAAGTTTCATAAGTAAATCGAAAAGGGAAACATTTAGGAGCATAGAATGAGTAAAATTATATTTAATGTATGAAAATCAATTCTTTAGTGATAAAAATCAAGGAGGTATCAGTCGAGAACATTTGTATGGAAAAAAAATTCCGCCGCCAACATTCAACAAACTCGCCTTCTTTTTATTATAGTAGTAACATTGTGAACACTCATTTTAGAGTGACTGTGATCATGAATCGGCATGATTAGGTTCTTCATGGCTTCAGAAGTTGGTCTCGGCTGCATATTTTGCAATTATTATTAGAGTTCGCATCGTTAGTTGTAACTTATAGCTCGTCTAGTTCGAGAATTCTGTTAAATTTGCATAAAGTTCTAGTTTCTATAAGCAATCGTTCCGATTGCGTCCCTTTTGTTCTATTTTTTCGTAAGACCCTTTCATAAAAAGATAAAGTCGTTTTAGAACAAAATTCCTTTTCGGATGATACGTATTTGGCGGCTCGGCAAAAAAGTGTATAAAATTTCCATCACTTTGGCTTCTTGACCTTTACAAGTGCTTGTAACAGGCTAGACTGAATAAATGATTTTTGATTTTGATTGTTATTGTAATTAGTTTGAGGAGATCTGCGCGAGCGGGGCCATGAACGGCCTGCCAGTGGTGAATATCTCCATGCTGCGGGACAGCAGCGCCGAGGACGGGGAGGAGACTCCCCCCGCGCTCGCAGACGCCGCGCTGGCCTGGCTGCGGGACAGGCAGCGCCCCGATGTCACTGTGAGCACATTCTGGCATTGTATATGCAGTGGGGCACATCTCCATGCTGCGGGACAGCAGCGCCGAGGACGGGGAGGAGACTCCCCCCGCGCTCGCAGACGCCGCGCTGGCCTGGCTGCGGGACAGGCAGCGCCCCGATGTCACTGTGAGCACATTCTGGCATTGTATCTGCAGTGGGGCACATCTCCATGCTGCGGGACAGCAGCGCCGAGGACGGGGAGGAGACTCCCCCCGCGCTCGCAGACGCCGCGCTGGCCTGGCTGCGGGACAGGCAGCGCCCCGATGTCACTGTGAGCACATTCTGGCATTGTATCTGCAGTGGGGCACATCTCCATGCTGCGGGACAGCAGCGCCGAGGACGGGGAGGAGACTCCCCCCGCGCTCGCAGACGCCGCGCTGGCCTGGCTGCGGGACAGGCAGCGCCCCGATGTCACTGTGAGCACATTCTGGCATTGTATCTGCAGTGGGGCACATCTCCATGCTGCGGGACAGCAGCGCCGAGGACGGGGAGGAGACTCCCCCCGCGCTCGCAGACGCCGCGCTGGCCTGGCTGCGGGACAGGCAGCGCCCCGATGTCACTGTGAGCACATTCTGGCATTGTATCTGCAGTGGGGCACATCTCCATGCTGCGGGACAGCAGCGCCGAGGATGGGGAGGAGACTCCCCCCGCGCTCGCAGACGCCGCGCTGGCCTGGCTGCGGGACAGGCAGCGCCCCGATGTCACTGTGAGCACATTCTGGCATTGTATCTGCAGCGTCCATTGTCACCTACAAATCCGCGCTGGGTCCTTTATCATCCACCAATCCGCACTGGGTCCGTTATTACCCACCAATCTGCACTGGGTCTGTTACCACCTACCAATCCGCGCTGGGTCCGTTTTCACCCACCATGCACTAGATTATGTATTTTGTGACGGTTATTGTTTACCGATGAGTCACTGATGACATTAATCGTAACGCGAAATCGAGAGTGTTTATGTTGGTTGTTTGTAAGTTTCACTTAATATGGCAATACTGATATAGTTATGTAATAACGGGTTCATTTTTAGTAACTTGCGACCGTGACGCGGCTGAGTTTCTGATTCAATCTTTTTATGGAAATGCCATCAAATCACTATAATTATCTGGGCACAGAATTACACCCCACAGTAAAGGGTGCGGCATTCCGTGTTCGTGTTTTATTTTCATCGAGTGATGTCATATTAATCGATGGCGAATCAGTCGGAAGTCAGGTGATAGATCTTCCGTTGATTATGTTTTTTTTCGTTCGGGGTGCAGCTGGAGGAGCTGTGCTCTCGCCAGCACCTGGTGTACGTGGACGCGCGCGGCGAGCTGCGGGACTGCGGCGAGCTGCCCGCCTCCAGCGGCGAGGCGGCCGAGCTCGGCCAGTACCGCCGCGACGCTGCCCGGCGCCGCACGCAGCCCGCGCCGCCCGCGCCCGCCATACCCGCCATGCCAGGGACGCTGGGAGCCAGGTGAGGGACGCAGGCGAGCTGCCCGCCTCCAGCGGCGAGGCGGCCGAGCTCGGCCAGTACCGCCGCGACGCTGCCCGGCGCCGCACGCAGCCCGCGCCGCCCGCGCCCGCCATACCCGCCATGCCAGGGACGCGGGGCGCCAGGTGAGCCGCGCATGCGACAAACGTACACGCGCGCGGCGAGCCAGGGACGCAGGCGAGCTGCCCGCCTCCAGCGGCGAGGCGGCCGAGCTCGGCCAGTACCGCCGCGACGCTGCCCGGCGCCGCACGCAGCCCGCGCCGCCCGCGCCCGCCATACCCGCCATGCCAGGGACGCTGGGAGCCAGGTGAGCCGCGCATGCGACAAACGTACACGCGCGCGGCGAGCCAATATATAAATAATATAAATATACAAAATTTTATATGCTTACATTTCTCAGGATTAAAAGGAAGCATATTTGCGTGTGACCAAGCCGCTATTTAGTCCAGATCTTTTTGTAGAAGCACAGCATCATTGGAATTTTGGACAGTTTTGTATATTTTGAGATCGTCGGCAAACAATAAACAACTTGAGGACCTAATAACTCGAACCAGATCGTTTATAAATGCTAGAAAAAGGAGAGGTTCCAAATGTGATCCCCGAGGAACTCCTGAGTTAACCAGAATATAATCAGATTCATATCCACAAGTAACTACTTTTTGATACTTCTCAGAAAGATAACAATGACACCAGTCTAACAAAGCGGCGTGAACACCTACCAAGCATAATATCTTTAGCATTATAGAGTGATTAACTTTATCAAATGCTTTACTTATATCAGTGTACACCGCATCCACCTGTCGACCCTGATCCAGTTCAAAACTTAATTCATTTACATAGCATGTTCGATACTTGTTTACTTCATTCAGATTATTTGTTTATAGATTATTAAAATTAGCGAGCTTAATATACCACAATTTGTCTTTGGTGTGTAGGGTGCATCGATGTGAAAAATATGTAGATTTTTGTATTTTTAATTTTTAACTATTTACGTTCGGGTTCAAACCAACCAAAATAAAAAGTCACCGACTTGAGGAAAACAGCGAACGACACTTTATCACGTAAAATTACCTTCCGTAAACAGACTTTACCCGACTTTTCTTATGCACAAATGCAGATCGGGGAAGGGCGGCGGGGAATGGAGCGTGGTGGCCGCTCGGGCCGCGGGCGGCGGCAGCACGCGCGCGCTGTGTGTGCTGCGGGGGCAGCTCGTGGCCGCGCTCATCACCTGGAGCGGGGCCGGGGCCGGCGGGAACATGGCCCGCGGCGCCGTGCTGGGCAGCGCGCGGGGTGAGTGCTGGGTGACGGGGGGCGGGGGCAGCTCGTGGCCGCGCTCATCACCTGGAGCGGGGCCGGGGCCGGCGGGAACATGGCCCGCGGCGCCGTGCTGGGCAGCGCGCGGGGTGAGTGCTGGGTGACGGGGGGCGGGGGCAGCTCGTGGCCGCGCTCATCACCTGGAGCGGGGCCGGGGCCGGCGGGAACATGGCCCGCGGCGCCGTGCTGGGCAGCGCGCGGGGTGAGTGCTGGGTGACGGGGGGCGGGGGCAGCTCGTGGCCGCGCTCATCACCTGGAGCGGGGCCGGGGCCGGCGGGAACATGGCCCGCGGCGCCGTGCTGGGCAGCGCGCGGGGTGAGTGCTGGGTGACGGGGGGCGGGGGCAGCTCGTGGCCGCGCTCATCACCTGGAGCGGGGCCGGGGCCGGCGGGAACATGGCCCGCGGCGCCGTGCTGGGCAGCGCGCGGGGTGAGTGCTGGGTGACGGGGGGCGGGGGCAGCTCGTGGCCGCGCTCATCACCTGGAGCGGGGCCGGGGCCGGCGGGAACATGGCCCGCGGCGCCGTGCTGGGCAGCGCGCGGGGTGAGTGCTGGGTGACGGGGGGCGGGGGCAGCTCGTGGCCGCGCTCATCACCTGGAGCGGGGCCGGGGCCGGCGGGAACATGGCCCGCGGCGCCGTGCTGGGCAGCGCGCGGGGTGAGTGCTGGGTGACGGGGGGCGGGGGCAGCTCGTGGCCGCGCTCATCACCTGGAGCGGGGCCGGGGCCGGCGGGAACATGGCCCGCGGCGCCGTGCTGGGCAGCGCGCGGGGTGAGTGCTGGGTGACGGGGGGCGGGGGCAGCTCGTGGCCGCGCTCATCACCTGGAGCGGGGCCGGGGCCCAAGGGAACATGGCCCGCGGCGCCGTGCTGGGCAGCGCGCGGGGTGAGTGCTGGGTGACGGGGGGCGGGGGCAGCTCGGTTCATCAAAAAGAATTCATTTTTGCAATGATTTGGGAATAATGAACGGTGAAATGCAGTTTATATAAACTGATCGTTTCTAATGAATGTTTATATTTCATTTCTTGTGAAATTCCGTGAACATCGTCTGTGTCGAGTTATTTAATTAAAGAATAAATACCGAAACATTGAAAGAAATGAACTGTAGATGAGCTGCCACTGTTACACGTTTCACTTGTCGTTCGATGCCAATATTATATAACAGATGCATGATCGATGCTAGTGAAAGTAATTAGAAGTCGGAAGCTTTCATCGCAAAAGCACATTCCGACAAATGTCAATTTAGACATTTCATTTTCGGGTTTTCATTGATCAAATATCGATAATGAAAGCAAAAATGTATCTTCTTATTTTAGCGTAATCTAATACATAAAATTCGTGACGTGGTGTTTGTGGTTAAACTCCTCCGAAACGGCTTTCCCGATTGTCATGAAATTTTGTGTGCAGATTGGGTAGGTCTGAGAATCGGACAACAGTTATTTTTCATCCCCCTAAATGTTAAGGGTAATCCAACCCTAATTTTTTTCTTTTTCAATTTTAGATATTTTTTTTTTAATTTTTTTATGATACATCATACAAAAATACATACAACCCTAAATTTTCACTCTTTTTTTTTTTTTTTTTTTTTATTTATTTATTTGACATACCATCGACAATTTCACAAATTTCAATAAAGATTTAAGATGTAGGTAGTACTCAACCGTGTGAATTGCCATTGTAGGCATGTACAACATTGACTATATGTAGGTAGGTACTTATACTTTTAACAGAAAAAAATTATTGTTCGGTTTGAACGTTACCATACAGATGATTTTTGAGGGCTTTGAGTGGAGCATGAAAGATGTCAACATCATGGCATATCTCGTTGTATGCATCTTTAATTCTGTTAAACGGTGAAGCTAATTTTGTTTTAAAGGGACAGTTAACGAATGATTTGATGGGTTGGCGGGGGATTTTTCTGGGAACCTTTAACTTAATTTCCGCAAGAAGGTCGTGCGCAACAATATTGCCGTGAAGTAATTTGTGCAGAAATAAAATGTCCGCGGTTTTTCTACGCTTTTCTAAGGTATGAAGTTTAAAGTATTTGAGACGAGTGTGGTAATCCGCACGGTAAGGACACTTCCTGTCTTTGAAAGCAAGAAACCTCGTAAAATTACGTTGAATTCGCTCGATTCTATCAATGTGGACTCGATATTGCGGATTCCAGACTTGGGAACTGTATTCTAGTATACTTTGCACCAAACTCTTATACAAGCATAAAATTGTTGCGGTGTTATGGAAATTCTTAGATAGGCGTTTCAAGAAACTCAACATTTTTAATGCCTTTGCAACAATAAAGTTAATATGTTCAATGAATCCGAGCTTTTTGTCAATTACAATGCCCAGATCACGAGTCGAACCCACTTCGGTTAGCTGTGCAGAATTGATAGTATAGATAGAAGCGTTCATGTTTTTTGTCTTCCTGGTAAATTTTATAAATAGACATTTACTTGCGTTAAGAGTCATACCGTTGTCTACGCACCATTCCGATACCGAGTCTAGATCTTTTTGGAGTAAAAGTATATCTTCCTCGTTTTTAATCGGTCGATACAACTTTAAGTCGTCGGCAAAAAGAGAGCAGCTGCTATACCGGATTTTATTAGGGATATCGTTAATGAAAACGAGAAACAGAATTGGTCCCAAGATCGAACCCTGAGGGACTCCCGACGAGGTGAGGAATGGTTTTTGATTTGTAGCCGTTCACAACTACCCTTAACAACCGATGCTCTAAGTAAGAACGGAGCCATAGCAGTAGGGGTCCATGAATTCCGTAACGCTTCAGTTTCATAAACAGTATATTGTGGTCAACCTTGTCAAACGCACTGCTAAAATCTGTATAAATGGAATCTATTTCTACGCCAGAGTCGATTGATTTCGTTAGTTCATTGACATACGAAACAAGATTGGTTGCTGTTGATTTATTTTTACAGAATCCGTGCTGGTTTGCATGAATGATGTTTTTAAAATGGGAAGTTAAAAACGGGCAGATAATTTTTTCAAATAACTTTGATATTGCATTCAGAATAGATATTGGGCGGTAGTTTTTAACGTTATTATTATCACCTTTTTTGAAGACTGGAATGATATTAGCCTCCTTAAGCAAATCCGGAAAAACACCCGTAGCAATGGATTTAGCTAATATGATTTTAAGTGGCAGGGCAATGTATTTAGCGGTTCTTTTAAGAAATAGTGGCGGAATGCCGTCAGGACCTGCTCCTTTGCTCTCGTCAATTTTGGATAAGATCTTAGTGATCATGCGTTCGGATATAGCAACATTACCGAGAGATAGCTGGGGATAGTCACCATCATTAACTAAATCACTGGGTATGGAATCTAGTTTCTGGGTATAGACCGAGGAGAAGTGTGTTGCGAAAAGATCACATATTTCGTTACCGGTAGAAGCTGAAGCCGTGTTGAGATGCATTTCACCAGGAATGTTAGATTTACCACCGCGGAGATCCTTGACGTACGACCAAAGTTTTTTAAGATTTTGCCTAATCGAGTCCTCCACCCCATCTAGATATGCAGCATAACATTTTTTTATCATTTGGTCCACTCGCTTATTGGCAAGCTTAAGTTCAAATGAGTCTCGCTGGTTGTTATATTTTTTGAAACGGCACCTAATATTATCACGTTCAGATATTAAGTTCGTTAAAGCGCGAGTGAACCATTTAGGATATTTTCTACGGCGGATAATAAGTTTGGGGATATTAGAATGAATGATGTTATTGAGGATGGAATAAAATTTACGCATCATGACATTGACATCCTCGCCCCCCAGCTCAGACTCCCAGTTCACATTATACAATTTTTCATTTATAACTGGATAATTAGCTCTTTTGAAATTAAGAATAGGACTTAATTTACTTGTAAGACTCGTCACAACCTTTACATCAATATCCGCTAAGAGAGCAGGGTGATGAGTATCAATTTTGCTTAAAATGTCTGAGGATTCCGTAATAACAATATTTTTGAAGTTAGCAAGAACTAAGTCTAGGATTCTGTTGTTCGCATTTTGTAAAAAGTTAAATTGTTCTATACTGTTGTAAGACATAAAATCGACCAGGGTATAACCAAGCGGACTATTGTAGTTTGACGGAGTCAACCCACCAGCAGTCTCATCTGGAGACCAATCAATAAAACCTAGGTTAAAATCACCGAAAATCATAGTCCTGCTCGTGTTTGTATTAACCACAGAGCTGATGTTATCCAGTACTGAAGCGAGTACGCCAAGTGATACAGGTGGAGGCACGTAGACACCGCAAATTAAAAAGTCTTCTACCGTATTATTGATTTTGACTCTAATAGATACCCATAAGTCTTCGTTTCTATTTTCGTAGTGCTGAATGCGGGCTGACCGGATCCACTTCTTCTACCACCAACCCCTATTTTTTTATGGCGGTACGAAGTTCGCTGGGTCAGCTAGTGACATATATTTTTTTATCTTTTTTACCTGATGATAAACGACACCGTAGCCTATGGACACTTAACATCAGGTGGGGTGGAGTCATTCGTCGGACCTATCTTTAAAAAAGTAAAGACGAAACAATTTGCGTAGGCAACACCGTCGAGGAGAGTGGCGAGCGACGCGCCCCGATGTCGGAGCCGCGTTGCGCCCTGGGCGCGGTGGAGATGGACGGGCGCCTGATAGTGTGCGGCGGGTACGACCGCGCCCGCGTGCTCAGCTCGGCCGAGGCGTACGACCCTGACAGTAACGCGTGGGCCCCGCTCGCGCATATGAAGTGCGCGCGGGCCCGCTTCCCCGCCGCCCGCCACAGGCACGCGCTATACGTGCTGGGCGGCAGCGACGGACACGCGGAACTAGACTCCGTCGATGCCTACGAAAACGGAAAATGGAAGGCGAAGGTGAATATATTCATTTTTATAATTTTTATTATTTTTAAAGCATGAAACTGCTTGATGTTTAAATCTAAAGAAAATATAACTAGAAAAAAATCCACGCGGACCAGGCAGCAGACGGGACTCGAACCCGCACCCTTCGCAATCCGGGCGAATGCACTGACCAATTATGCTTTAAAAATAATAAAAATTATAACTATAATTGCTATTTCTTCTTTCAAATGTTTAATACTTGTAAAAGTATTCATTTGACATTGTGGGTTGCCTATAATGCGAAGAGATGGCGCTGCCTTGCAGCTTAAGAATGGCTAGAAGAATTTCGACGCAGTCCGTGAGGGCCGCGGTAGCATAATTGGTCAGTGCATTCGCCCGGATTGCGAAAGGTACGGGTTCGAGTCCCGTCTGCTGCCTAGTCCGCGTGGAATTTTTTCTAGTTATATTTTCTTTATATTCATTTTTGTTGACTCGCGCTCGCTAGCCTGACGCACTGGTTGTGTGTAGTTTATAGGATGTAATGCGAGAGATGGCATTTGTTATAAAGTTAATTAGAATTACCGTGTATACCTTTTATTAAAATCATACAAAGTATTTTCAATAATAAGGTTGTTAAAATTATGCAATGTATGTGTTTTGTTGGTGTACCATAATAAAATAAAATAAAAAAAAAAACAATTACAACAGGTTTCGCTTATACTTAAAATCTCGATTATAAGTTTTATGAAATCACACTAATATTATAAAGGCGAAAGTTTGTGAGTATGTGAGTGTGTATGTTTGTTACTTCATCGCGTCTAAACGGCTAGAGCGATTTTAATAAAATTTGGTATGGAGTTAGCTGACACCCTACATTGACACATAGGCTACTTTTATCTCGAAAAAATATTAGGTTACAGAGGGATTTTCAAGAAACTAAGTTAACGCAGAAAGATAAAAATATAATTCAATGCAAATATAAATAAAAAAGGAAGTCTAAATATTTCAAATTTTATACATAAATCAAAATACCAGAATAAAACAACTCCTCCTGTTTTCTATAGATCCATAGGTGAATTTGTTATATATTCGCGTATTGCGATGATTAATATATTTACGATAAAAACCTAAGATTACGTGTGATGTTTAGGCGCGCCTGCCGCTGGCCCGCAGCCACGCCGGCGCCGCGGCGCATGCGCATCCCACGGGCGGCGCCATCTTCCTGGCGGGAGGATGGGCCGCCGGCCGCAGTCTCAAGCGGGTCGATAAGTACTGTCCCAGCACTGACAGCTGGACTGATGCCCCGCCGCTTATCACCGGTGACTATACCCACACTATACTCACACCGCATGCGCATGCGCATCCCACGGGCGGCGCCATCTTCCTGGCGGGAGGATGGGCCGCCGGCCGCAGTCTCAAGCGGGTCGATAAGTACTGTCCCAGCACTGACAGCTGGACTGATGCCCCGCCGCTTATCACCGGTGACTATACCCACACTATACTCACACCGCATGCGCATGCGCATCCCACGGGCGGCGCCATCTTCCTGGCGGGAGGATGGGCCGCCGGCCGCAGTCTCAAGCGGGTCGATAAGTACTGTCCCAGCACTGACAGCTGGACTGATGCCCCGCCGCTTATCACCGGTGACTATACCCACACTATACTCACACCGCATGCGCATGCGCATCCCACGGGCGGCGCCATCTTCCTGGCGGGAGGATGGGCCGCCGGCCGCAGTCTCAAGCGGGTCGATAAGTACTGTCCCAGCACTGACAGCTGGACTGATGCCCCGCCGCTTATCACCGGTGACTATACCCACACTATACTCACACCGCATGCGCATGCGCATCCCACGGGCGGCGCCATCTTCCTGGCGGGAGGATGGGCCGCCGGCCGCAGTCTCAAGCGGGTCGATAAGTACTGTCCCAGCACTGACAGCTGGACTGATGCCCCGCCGCTTATCACCGGTGACTATACCCACACTATACTCACACCGCATGCGCATGCGCATCCCACGGGCGGCGCCATCTTCCTGGCGGGAGGATGGGCCGCCGGCCGCAGTCTCAAGCGGGTCGATAAGTACTGTCCCAGCACTGACAGCTGGACTGATGCCCCGCCGCTTATCACCGGTGACTATACCCACACTATACTCACACCGCATGCGCATGCGCATCCCACGGGCGGCGCCATCTTCCTGGCGGGAGGATGGGCCGCCGGCCGCAGTCTCAAGCGGGTCGATAAGTACTGTCCCAGCACTGACAGCTGGACTGATGCCCCGCCGCTTATCACCGGTGACTATACCCACACTATACTCACACCGCATGCGCATGCGCATCCCACGGGCGGCGCCATCTTCCTGGCGGGAGGATGGGCCGCCGGCCGCAGTCTCAAGCGGGTCGATAAGTACTGTCCCAGCACTGACAGCTGGACTGATGCCCCGCCGCTTATCACCGGTGACTATACCCACACTATACTCACACCGCATGCGCATGCGCATCCCACGGGCGGCGCCATCTTCCTGGCGGGCTTCTATTTATCTCTATCAGTATTTCAAACTTGGTGTTTCCCAAGGATCTACCTAGGCTCCGCTACTTTACTATTCGAATATCTTGCATAAGAGTTGAATCATAAACATTTATGGCAGGTCGTTCCCAATGCGCGGTGGTATTATGGGAAGACTCGCTATGGGCGTTGGGCGGCTGCGACACGTGGCATTGTCTCGCTTCCACGGAGAGGCTCAAACTGACAGACGCTGAGGCAGACTGGCAGGTATGTATCACTCTCATAAATATAATATATAGTTTTAAAACTTTTCTGTCTGTTTTGGTTTAATATGTATAACTATTAAAAAAAAGGGTTTGTGGTTACAATATTAGTTGATGTATTTTATAGTTTTCATATACTTAGTAAATTATTCTTTTGGTAATCAAATACGAATAAAATAGCTATAAAAGAACAATCTTTAGTTATTTCTTTAACAGACCTTAAAATACAGATTGTAAGTTGCAAAGTTCTTCTAAATGTTATAATGTAAAATCGGTATAATGTGTTATGTGCGAGCGAGGGAGTGACTTCGTTTGTGTGGAAAAAATGATTTCTGTATAAACTTTCACCCCCTTGTACCCTGTTAATGGATGAGCTTTGGGTTAAAGGTAATAGACAGAAGGATAGGCACACTTTTGCGTTAATAATATTAGTACGCTTTGCACTACTTTTTATAGAGTTGATAAAGTGAAAATCCTGATATAACATAAATGATATGATAATTGGTATGACTATGAGCGACGACAATAAATATTGATGGCAGACTGATATGACCGTGACTAAATTATCGAATGTGGCGTAAAGTGCAAACTAGACAAAACTGTACGAGTCGGCTTGTACGAGTACAGACAGCGCAGGACAGCTCGGTTAGGCATTCCTTGTGGGATGCCTAAATCCAGCAGTGGGCGTCTCTCGGTTGATATGATGATGATGAATTATTTACATGTGCTCGCTATTTTGCCTACGTTAAACTAGTTTAATGAGAATACTATAGGAACCTATTCTTTTAGGATCAAAAGTATCCTATGTGTAAATTTAAGTAATCTATACTAATATTTATAAAGCTGCAGAGTTTGTTTGTTTGTTTGAACGCGCTAAACTCTGGAACTACTGGTCCGATTTGAATGATTCTTTCAGTGTTGGGTAGTCCATTTATCGAGGAAGGCTATAGGCTATATTTTTTTTTCAAAATTAGGGATCCGTAATAAAATTGCTATTTTGTAACACAAGATGTAAAATCGAAAACCTATTTTTGCGTGCGCTGCAAAAACTATTGACAATAGAACAAAATGATGTACTACGCGTTTGTAGATCCCATCAAGACCTACAAAAAAGTCCGCGAGAACATATATCTAGCTATCATGGTTTAATCACAATAACCGATTTTGTGTTCAAAATAATTATTAAATCGTCTGAAGTAAAAAAAACTATGTTAAATATGTATCGCAATATTAAAAACACAAACAACCCTTAATTTTCACCCCTCTACCACCTATATTTTTATGGCGATACAAAGTTTGCTGGGTCAGCTAGTAAATTATATTTATGCCAAATTTTATCTAAATCCGATCAGTTGTTTTAGCCTGAAAAATTATCAAACATTTACACATGTATTGTGTTAATAAACTTTCGTGTTTATAATATTTATAGAGGATGTACAGTAATCGAATAGGGATGATTGACGTTTTTGTTTTCGCCTATCAGGTAGATTATCAAAGAGTACTGGACACGCATTTTTTCTTTGTTCACATAATCAAAACTTTACATAAATATATTGATTTGAAATGCTGCATTACGTAACTTCTTGGTGCAATTTGCTTAGAAGGGACGTCACAATCACTAGCCATCCAAAAGCCAATCATAAACTTTGATACGCTTCATCTTTGTCTTTTTTTTGTTGATTGACAAAAGAAATAACAATCGCTTTATTCCAAAATGCGGATTAAAGTTCGATTTAAACTTAACGTCGTCTCTGTCTTTTTTTTAGCAAACAAAAGTGACAGCATCATTTTTAAATCAGTATTAATTTAAGGCAACGTTTTGTAATAAGATGAGAATTGTCGATTATTTTTTGATAATCTGATCGGCGGACTAAACGATTTTTTTTAGTTCCCTATTATATTGTCGTCGATTCCAGTATAATTTTCTAAACTTTAAATTTAACACCGGTCTTTCGTTTTCATTTGTATAATAGAATATGGCAGGGATACACTGTCGTCAAATTTAAGTCCAGCTTTGGAGAATTACGCCAGAACGGACACCATTATCCGTATTGTATTGTGATCGTGTCGTATCGTGTCGCGTAGTGGGAAGCGGGTCCTCCTCTCCCGACGGCGCGGCGGTCGGTGGGCGGCGTGGTGTGGCGCGGGCGCCTCGTGTCCGCGGGGGGCTCCGACGGGGCCGCCTCCCTGCGACGCGTCGACTGGATGATGGGGACCGGGGGCGGGACCGGCGGCGGGACCGGGGGCGGGACCGGCGGCGGGTGGTGTGCGGGGCCCAGTCTCAGGCGCGCCCGAGCCGGACTCGCGCTCGCACCGGTATTGTACCCTGTAGATTCATTTTCAATGCCCTTTCAAGAGCAAGCAAGAGCAGTAAAAAATATTGATTGATTTATAGCCTATGTCTCAATCCACGATAAAAATATATATGTACTAAATTTTATCCAAATACGCTCAACCGTTTTTGCGTGATTAAATACCAAACTCTATTTATACCTTTCTCATAATCTCTAAAATAATGAAATTTTCAGTCTAATTCAAGAAACGTGTCGAATTCAACTATTTGTAGTAAAATTATTCATTGAAGATTATTACAATGTTTATTTCTACAAAACTCAGCAGCGTAATTTTTCGTTTGGCCCACTACAGATCGGCGACGTGCTATACGCGGCGGGCGGATTCGACGGGAAACAGTTCCTAGCTTGCGTCGAGTGCCTCTACCACCCCGACGGGGAGTGGACCGCGCTCTGCCAGCCCGTCGCGCCCCTCCCCCTCCCCGTGGCGGTCGACGCGACCGCGACCACGACCACACCTGCGACCGCGACCGCGACCACAACTGCGACCGCGACCGCGACCACACCGACCGCAGACTCACTAGCATCGTGCCCGGATCATTGACGGACGGACGGAATGCTGCAACAACTCGCCTTAAACTTATGAATGTTGCGAACTCGAAGAGATAATTACGCGCCCTGATTATTGTGAGTTTGTTACGAATTTTGGTGTAGAATTGATTATGGGAAAGAAAGAATTTAATGACAGATAACATTCCAAAATATGAATTTAAGAAAAATAAGGTCGACCGGGTCCCTGCCGCGGCACTGATGCTGCGGCGTTGCTAATATTTTTTGTTTGAATGCTTCGATTCGAGTAAGCTTGATACGTTTATCTCGAGAAGAGTAGGAGAACTTATATGATATTGCGCGACAAATCTAATGTAATATATGCTTAACTTCAAAAATAATAATATTTATATAAGAATAAAAAAATCAGTAACAAACAAAAATACATGGACCGACTTCCCTCCTGCGGGTGTGATGTATCTGTTGAGGTTATAAATTTATAACATTTTTAAAGTTATTTATACCTACTTCTTTTGGCGAGTATAAAAATAATAATAAGTGTATGGTTATAGTACAATTGTGTCCAAAATAAATAAAAATGACAGAATATCATCGATCTGTAAAAAAAGTGGATCTTACAAACGTCTTCGTTTTGTAAGTTTATTTTAATGTATTTGTTTCTTAGGTTTTCACGCACATCACTCATTAAATAAAACTAGTTTTTACGGGTTAATGCACGAAACTTTATTTATTTATTGACGTTTTGTAGCCTTTACAGGCTTCGTCGTCAGAATAAAACTTTTATTATATAAAACTTTTATAAAGTTTCGTGCATTAACCCGTAAAAACTAGTTTTATTTATTTTAATGTAATTTACATTTATGTTACCTTATTTGATTTCTAATCTGTAGATGACAAATATCTCAGATTCCAGGGCAAGTGATGATCTTAACAATATACGATTCTAGCATTCGAAAGATTTAAGTGCGGATATTGACTCATCTCCGCTTTTGATACTCGGTTTTTATCATTCCCCGTGCGGCCGCCGCGCCGGCACCGGACGGTACCGGACAGTACCGTACGGCACCCGGACGGCACCGGACAGTACCGTACGGCACCCGGACGGCACCGGACGGTACCGTACGGCACCCGGACGGTGCCGGACGGCGCCGGGCCCACCGCGATCCGGCGTCGCGTCACGGCTCGGAACACATTGTGATATTTAGATTATAGTGGTCGCATCGTGACTACGCAGGGCCTTTTCTAACTAAATTTTTATTGTATACTTCCGATTCATTGATCTTTATGGAAGCCGATTCGGACTGTTGACGAAATCTCTCTCTAAAATATACGGACACAGCCGACACCGCACGCAGTCTGTACTGAACTGTCAACATTTTCAATCATAGGACATGTTCATGGGTCTAAATCGTTAGTAAAATTTTGTGGCCATTTCTGGCCTAACGAACTTTACTGAAGTATTATTAATAATCTAACCGATTGACTGTAAACATTGCACTATCAAAACAATATAGTCAATAGGTATTGTATAATCAGAATAATGTTTTAATCTACCAACGACCAAACAAGTAATTGAATAATACGATAAAGAAGTGCAATAATATTGTACAGATATTAATACAATCAATTACACGATATATCATGAGATGAGTATAAAAGCTTAGCGTAATCAATTGATTGATCGATTTTCTTGAAGTACCATAAATCTAGAATATTTTTTGAGAATTAAATTTCTTAAACCAGAATTGTCCTCGTACTTCGACAACGTAGCGGGTTGTCTGACCAAATAGTTCAATTTGTATTTGATTCCGAATCGCCTCCCGTAAAGATCATTATTTACAAAATGGGATCTTTATAAAAATATATTATATTATTATTTTAGATAATATTATCGTGACCTTTTATGACTTGCATTTGTGTAACTTAGGGACGTAAATTCGGCATCATTCCTCAGTGTACACTGTACTCAATATTATACACGGTAGAGGTGACATAAGTTAGTTTTACATTCATACATTATGTAGCATAATATTGGGCGTGATTCTAGCATGACTCCAACCATAAAATACAAATTTGACAATAGTGTTTCCTTATTATGCTCTGTGGATAATTAAAATGAGATACTGTTGTCAAATTTTATTTCAGTTTCGAGAATCATGACAGAATTAGACCTATAACGCCTCATTACAAAACGTAGAGTAAAGTTAAACCTGGACCAACTTTTGTTTGCTAAAAAGAAGACGGAGACAACATTAGGTTTAAACCAAGAGTAACTTTAGTCCGCGTTTCGGAATAAGGGAGATCGTGTCAGCTGGGTGCATGGATATGTTGCGGTGTGTAGCGGTGGAGCGAGTTGCTCGGTAGATGTCACTATGATGAATTATGCCTATACATACATATATGTTGTTCCAAGCATGCTAACATAGAGTTGATCGATTAGTATTAATAGAGATAATGTTAAGCTTGTCCTCGCCACGCGATTTACCTCTTTATCTCTTAATATCGCGTGATTATTTGAAATTAATGCTTTTTATTTTTGCCATATTATATCGATATGGGCCATTTGTTTTATATGTTAAACTAGAAATTGTGTGGCGTAATCAATCAGCTTTTACCATTATATTTTTCTCGAGGGGGTAATCACAATATTACTGAAAATATCTCTCATTGAATCGGTATAATAATGAATTTCGGGATCTGCGCTAGCGCAAAGTGAAGTTGAACGTAAATAGCGGATGAGTGTAGTGAAGGTCGCCCGAGTCGATCGATGCGCGTGACCGCCACCAGAGGTTACCGCGCTGCATAATACATATCGATTTAATCGAGTAAGCTCGGATTAGTGTCAGGTCAGCTGATAGTCGGGCATACTTTGCAAACTATGTGTTGCAATGAGATTGCAAAAAGCATTCTTATTTTAATGGATCGTTATAAGTAAAATATACCTTCAACCATTTCCCATGACACACACATATCTTTGCTTTTATCACAAAAGAGGCGTATAGCACGAGTTGAAGAAAATATTAAAAATTTGGCTAAATATGGTTTAAATCAGCGCCTACATTTTTGTGGTGCAACCCCTTGTTTCTTACAATATTAGAAAGTTTCTGTTAAAAGCGGACGTTTTTGGATAAAGGGATAAGTGGTGGCGAGAGATCTCTAGATAATGAATCATTATAATGATTAATGAATGATATATGAAACCGCGCGCCTCCTTGGACCGAACACATGTTTAAAGCTCGATAAATAAATAATATTGTTAAGGAAATGACATCAGTTGTAATTCCATCGTTATGAATTAATTAAACTATTGTAGTTAATAAGCCTCCTTTCCTTCCCGATAGAACAAAGTTAGTGAGCGTAATATTTATTAATGTATATTACGTTAAATTTAGTGATCACGTTTTTTATGATTTTGCTTGAGATTTTGTATGATTTGTTAATACATGGTAATTGTGATTGATAATAAAATTATTGGGAAGTCTTGTTAAATCAAATTAATTAACTGATCGATACAAATACAGTATTTGTATTATCGAATACCTACTAAAATAATGATTATAATCACCATCTGTGTCAGAACTACATGCCAACCGACATATAATGCGATTCAACTAAGAATAGGACCGACTGGGCGCCATATTTTGACGTCATAGCTGTCAATTCAAACCAAATAGGTAGAGTGAGCAAAAAAAAGTTGCTATTTAATAAAACTTATTTACTTAGATTAAGTGAGAAAAAACATCAGATTTTTTTAATAAAATTAATTTACTAAGATTGAGAGAAAACACAACCGACTTTTAATAATATTTCTTTATTAAGACTGTGTGAGAAAAAACATTAATCAGAATTTAGCTCTTCAATTCCGCTCATCTCTGCATTACCACCGGAGTAGTTATGAATAATCATGCAGGTCACATACGAACATGCATCCTATATGTAAACGAAAGTATTAAATCGAGTTTCTGAACGCAACATAAAGTGACATTTGGTTGACGATTTAGGTTATCAACCATTCATAGCCAAAGCTCAATAGCAATATTAACTCAACAGCAAAAAAAAAAATATCAACCAATATTAACTATCAATATTTGTTATTGTTTGTTTAAAAATGTTTGATTTTTATTCTAGAATTAGATGAGTGCTAAAATTCCGAGATTTTTTTGCAAACTGTACTTTTCTAGCGACATTTGACAGATGGAGGTCATTGGCTTTCCTATTCTTATTTGAATCGCATTATAGTTAATGCAAAAATTGATTTTGTTTTGACTGTAATTTTATAAAAAGACATTTGACCAACAGTATGTAAAGCGATTCACTACTCCCAATAATCCACCATTTCGACACGCTACGATAAGGATATTATATCTTAAGTTTATCATTACTCTATATGGAATATATATGTGTCGTAGTCGTAGTGGCATTTAGGCACTTTATAGGCTACATTTACCTCGAAGGCAAGGTGGGTTATTGTGGAATGGTTGCCGATATCACTCGACCGATACAAGTAAAAAATAAACTCTTTAGCGGCAAATTTCAGTAATCAAACTCCAGTGAAAGATAGGTTTATTAGAACTATTGCGATATTTTTATTATCTAGAAAAACGGAACCCTATTTGCCTTACTGGAGGCTGATTATTGGAAGTGCTCATAGATCGTTAAGATACCTGATAGATATATTTTTATACACCACAGATGGTATATATGTCGGTCTTGAGACGGCGCGCGCGCGTGCGTGTGTGTGTGCGTGGTGCTCTTACAGTATTCGATATTGTTTACTTTTAACTCAATAAATATTCCATTTATTACTATTCGGCGTTTTCATTCCAAACTGCGTTACATAAGTAACGAAACTACCCTATCTTTAATGTCTGGATGGAAGTTGACCTCAACACATATTTGCAAGTTTGATGTCAACTTTCAACTGGACGACACTGTATGAAATAAAACAGGGAGAAAAAATCAGCCCTTGCCGAGTTTCTTGCCGGTTCTTCTCAGTACAAGGTCTCCCGCCGTAGATTTGGGAACCGAACCATAGCGTAGCTTTTCGACATTCACAAGTGCTTGTAACAGCCTAGACAGAATAAATGATATTGAATTGAATTGTCTGGGAAAAGCGTGACGGCTTCCTCGCCACTGGGAGTTTTTTTTTTGCAAAAGTTGCAACAAGGATATGTGAGAACTCCCGTTCGGTAACCTCGGTACGAACTCATATTGAATTCGATCTTGATACGTGTCAAATGTCAAGAAAGGAGATTGGTCAAATTGGCCTAAATGCAAATAAAATATTGACATATACAGTAATTCTTGGCGTAATTTATACTTTATTTTACAGTCATTAGATTTTAACGGCCACCTTTAAATAATATATTAATTTTAAAAAAGGACTTCTATTTTTACCGGTTTGGAAAACATACGAATCATTTTTATTGGCTATGGGTGTAGTAACATTCACAAAGACTGATCGAGGTTGTTTATATAACATCAAAACAAATCTATTTTGTAAAGATTGATAAAATATATTTTTTTTTATTACACGGGTGGTATTAATATCCACAACTTTATTATCATTTTTACTACATGCAAATGTGCTAAGACAATTAATATAGATGGTAGGCGACATCATAAAGTCTATTGCCGTACATTTTTTGCCAAACACCTAAATAAACACATTATAAGGTGTGATACACTAAAAATCTAAAATATGGTTATAATAAAAACATAACAAAAATAATGAAGCTGCTGAAGATATGGCTGTATAACCTACAGCTCTTAGCTTTCTTTGATTAACGAGAGTTTAAAAATTCTCTCTAATCTGTGGCTCATTCACAATCATCACACAGTTTCTGTTCGTGTTTTTAAAAACATGCACATATCTGTTATTTTACATGCTCTATATACCTGAATCTAATACATAATATCGGTACTTGGCTTGATTGCCCTATTTTCCTATATAAGTTATTTGGTTTTTATTATTCTAATACCTATGTGCCTATTTGCAAACATAACCTCAAAATCATTCAGTGTATATGGTTTATAGAAGTTCTCAGGAGTGGCCGTCGATAATATTCGTTTCTACGGTAATTTATATATAATTTCGAATGTAGGAAACAATTTTTCATGGTTATCGGTTTTTAGGCCAAACATGTATGGAAGCTGAGCAATCTCCTTTGAACAGCGCCATAACGGACGTAACGAGAAACTGGCGTTTAACTCGTAATCTGGCACACAAAAACTTATAGACATTTGGCGCATATCGATTTCGAAATTGATTCGTGATTAGTCAATTCTCAACGTGAGGGCTCCCCACCACCTTGAATCACTCATAAACACTGCACCTGTGCCTGTCTCTCAACTACACATGAGTGAAGCCGTGATCGTGAGGGAGGGGGACTTTTAATAAGTTTAAAGTGTGTATCAAAACTTGTCTCCATAAGAAGGGTTACCATACCTACCGTTATAGATTTCATAAATAATAAGGCACCTTGGGCTTAGTATAATAGCCTAAGTAGTTTTACTTTGCTAATTTGGTTGAAAATTATTCAATCGGCACTTCTTCATTTAAAAACAATACTCAACTCACTGTTTATTAATAATATAAGTTTCTTGCCGGTTCTTCTCATTAAAAGGTCTCCCCGCCGTAGATTTACGAACCGATGGCGTAGCGTTCGAGTTTCACAAGAACTCGTAACAGCCTAGACCGAATAAACGACTTTGAGTTCGATCTACACACATAACGTGAGAGGGAAGGCAATGAAATAACTCTAATCTAGTACAAAATATTTATTATTAATTAACACAATTTACGCGGCGGAGGCGGACCTCTGCTCTAGCAGTAATTTGGCCAGCGAATGCCTGTCGCCTAACTGCAGATGAGCGAAGTGTTCGTCTCGATGGTCGCGCAGACACGCGGGGGCGGGTGAGGGGGAGGGAGACGGGGAGGTCGCGAGAGGGGGGGCAGGGCGGCCGCAGGGGGGGGGGGCGCGGCGCCAGCACCAGGGCCGGCTCGGGCGCGCGCACGCAGCGCAGCGGGGACGCACCCAGGATCTGGGCCACGCTGCCCTCCACCGAGGGGCCCCACGATGACAACGCTGAATGGGGGCGGACATACATACATACATACATAAACACTTTATTACTCACACAGGCGCTGTTCGAGTATTACGTGAGCACTATAGAGGGACAGGGGGGTCTTTGCTTTGCTTATTTATGATGACATGGGGGGTCGAGATGGTGATTACGTCGGCATCATGGACTAAGTCTATTTGAGTACTGCCGCTCATGAAGCTCATGAAAACTTATCATTCAATAAAAAAAACAGAATACATTAAAGGAAAAATGCATATAGGTACCGATGTTTACGTAAGCATGGGGGGGAGGGGTGAGAGCTCTGCTTACTTTTGCTGACGAGGGGGAGGAGAGGGTAAATAATTGTAATAAATCTGCTTACGTAATACTTGAACGGCCCCACATACACAATTAAAGGGTTCACAGAACAGATAGTAAACTGTGGTGGGTAAAGGCAGACATATTGCTGATTACTTTGTTGTTGATGGCAGACGTTTTTCGCAGTCGGTTCGACTCTGCGACCGAGACCTTGTGGCGCTTCAGAGGGCGCTGCTGGTGAATAATTGGTGAAATGAGAATTACGAAGTACGTAAAATCTCTTTATAGGGAACGTTAAATTCACAATGGTGCCAATTCTGGCGTGATTCTCTAAACTTAAAACTAAATTTCACATCAGTCTCTCCTTTTCATTCTGTACAGAGAATGACAAGGATATACTGCTGTCAAATTCAAGTTTTGGTTTAGAGAATCATGCTGGAATCGACACCAATATCTCGGAAAGAATAAATCAAAGCAGTAAATGCTTATTTACAGCTTCTATGAATAAGTCTTCCTAAAATTTGTACGATGTCTTGGTCGCGTTGTGCTATGAATATATCCCCTTACCTTCTTATTAATAAACAAGGAATAAACTTCCTACTTACACCTAAAACATGGAATAACTAATCCAAGCGTAGTCTTCGTTTCTTGATAAGGTTTTATATTTACAACAAACAGTAGTCTGTAACAATCGTCTGAGCCCCATTGTTTCTTTATAGAAAAATTCATCTTTATTAACTCAGCGGTTCAAACGTGAAAGAGTAACAAACAATCACTTTTTCAATTGTAATCTTAACGGTTGCCCGGATTTTCATCCGAGTGGTTTAATTAATTTCTCATGTAAACAACCACACCTTTCAAACACATTGAAGAATGATTTTTAAAATAAAACTATGCCATGTCCTCACTCAGAACTCAAACTATCTCTATATCAAATTTCATATAAATCTGTTCAGTGGTTTAAGTGTGAAGAGGTAACAGACACTTTCGCATTTATAATGCACCAGGGACACGCCCTCACTTTGGATCGGTGAAGACTATAATTTTAATTTTGTTCTCGGCCACGTGTGATATATATAAATCTTCCCTAAAAATTACATTATTAGAGTTTACTCCTTAAGAATCGATTTGCATATATAAGGGGCCCGGTATGAGAAAAATGTGAGGAGTAATATCTACTGAACAAATGACCTCGTTACGTTTTTGAGCGCAACCTCATCTGTGCACCTTTCACTTTTAGCCATGGCAACGGATAGAAAACATTAAGTTGTCACAAATGTCAATAAAATAAATAAACTAAAAATAAATGAAATCAGAGCAAAATTAATGAAAACAAATAAATAACAGAATATAGAGAAACGCCGGTAAGTGTCCAGCACTCTGGAATAGTGATTTTCAGTACAGATGGAATTATAATACATATTTACAAAATGATGACTAGTGTGTGATATTTTTGAAATTGTGTTTCCAGAAATACATAATAAAATATATGATGAACATCGCTGATGTTAGATGATAAAATGTGTGACATGGAACCTATGATAGTCGAAACCATGGGACGATTCCTGAGGTATCTCTACTTGTAACCGACTTCTTCGGACTTCATTTTGTTTTGTGTCTGTTCAAAGACAATCGTTTTTAGACTGTAAACTCCGGTCGTGCGTCGGAGGTGACACACACAATTTTTTGCCAAAAGTTACATTAAAATCTATTGCGTAGGTACATAGCGGAAGCTATATTTTTTTTACGATGTAAAAGATAGTTTTAATTGTTATCATTTGTACTAACCGTTCTCAAAGTCAGTCCTGTAGAATGCCAACGCGTCGGTTAAGACTGGCGCAAATCGGCCCGTATGATGATGAGGGGTAGGGGTAGGTAGAGGGGAGGGGGAGGGGGAGGGGGCGGAGGGAGGGGCAGGGGAGGGATGCAGCGAGTAGCGCGCGAATCCCACAGCCCAGAACCACTGCCAGCCAGAGATTGTGTTCATGCGAGCCTGCAAATATGATGATAATATGTAATTAACATAATTGACGTCTTTTCTATATGGCCGTGTAGATTTTATTCTAGTATTTCCTAGGCTGCAAGGCAGCACCATCTCTTCGCAAACAATTATGGGTCACCTGCAATGCGAGGAAATGGCACCGAGGTCGGGGTAGCCATAATTTGCAGTGCACCCGCCCGAATAGCGGAGGATGCGTGTAACATAATTATTTGTATTAAGCGTCATTTAACGAAACTCGTTAGAAGTAAATAATGAAGAAATTGACGGTGCGATATGGCGTGCTTTTTTATTACTTTTAAACATAATAATGGTGACACAAATCGTTGTCAGGGGGCGTCTAGATTGTTGGCAGATTATCGTAGGTGGGGGAGTTCTTTTCTAGAATGGGCAACGAGGATAAACATTCAATTTTAAAGTTCGCTTAAATAAGGGACGAAAAGAATACGAAATGAAAGGTGGCTAAGTGAACACCAAAAGCAGATGATGGTGTCGATTCTGGCAGGATTCTCTAAACTTAAAACTAAATTTGACATCAGTCTGTCCTTTTCAGTATAGAAAATGACAGAGATACACTGTTGTCAAATTTAAGTTTAGCTTTAGAGAATCATGCCAGAATCGATACCGATGTCTTAGTTATTTTAAGGATAATTTAGTAGAAAATCCCATATCTGTGAGTTTAATTTTAATTTTCGGTTAGTTAGAAATCTTTAAAGAAAAGTTGCATAGCTACTGCATTTTTTAATTGTTTTAGGGGTTCGTAGGCGAAGTGGTAAACTATTAGTCTTCATACTTAAATGTGATGAATCATTGTATATGAATTAACCAAAAAATTGTTGGATTCAATGCCTACAACAAATTGTCGACGCCATAAGACCACGTGTTAGTGGATAACCTTGACAAGGCGAGATGCAAAGTGTGGACTCCTAATCTTCAAATATAAAGACAATAAGAAGCTGTCACCTTCGCAATTGTCTTTTCAGCTGTAAAGAGCTGAAAAAGCTGGATAGCTATCCAGTCAAGCATATTTCATCAAGAAAAGTCAACTTAGATTATCAACATCGCGCATTAAGGTAAAATGAGAATGTATTTAGTTTGATAACATTGGAAATTTATTGTAAGCGCCACTACGACGAATAAACCCAGTATGAGGTAAATAAAATTGTTTAAGTTATTTTAGAGCACAAACTACCCCCTGAAATATTTACAGTCTTCCGTTTTCCGATTTTGTTAGTCGGTGAGTAACAAAAATATTGTTACATGCGATTTCAAGTCCCGTTTGCTTTCTGAACCGCGTGGATTTATTTTAAGTAAAATTTTCTTTTACTTTAAATTATAAATTGACCAATAACTAGAATGTCTAAAAAATTAAAATTTAACAAAGTCGTTTCTAAAGCTTAAGTCGTATCTGCTGACATGCGCCACAGCTATTTGTCCAGCGTGCTGTCATGTAGCACTTGTTTTTGTACCCTTGTGTACCCTTAAACGGCTAAGTCACACAACACTAACTATAATAATAAAGAAATTGCAGTAAGGAACTTTACACTTGGCACGACTTTGTGAGATTTCAATATTTTTTAGAGATAAAAAAAGCAGCTTTATTGAAATTTGGTTTGTATTTTACATAATGTTTTGGTGGGATATAGCAATACATCTAAGGTACCTACTTAATTAGTTTAAAATGGTAAAGCTATCGTATTGCATTTTTTATTAATTTATGTAATTACTAGTGGCCCGCCCTCGCTTCGCTTCGGTGTAGAGCTGTAGTGTAAACTATACTTTTTATTCTCAGGCTTGTGCTATAAAGAATGACTTTATTTATATAATTACACGTGTTATTGTGAGTCAACCATAAAAGATAGACATATGCTGTTGCGGAATATTTTTTAGACAATTTTATGTAGAATATTTCCGTCATACATGATTTCTATGTAACTTTAACCATTAAGGCTGCACCCGCGACGGAAGCTTAAAAAATGGAGTAACTTCTCCCGTTTTCCCAACATTTCCCTTCACTACTCTGCTGCTATTGATTGTAGCGTGATGAAAAGTATACTATAACCTGCCCAGGAGTATGAAGAATAATTGTACCAAGTTTCGTTAAAATCCGTTGAGTAGTTTTTGTTTCTATAAGGAACATACACACAGACAGACAGACAAAAATTTTACTGATTGCATTTTTGGCATCAGTATCGATCACTAATCACCCCCTGATAGTTATTTTGAAAATATATTTCATGTACAGAATTGACCTCTCTACAGATTTATTATAAGTATAGATAATTATTTATTTATGCAGTTTTTTTCTTCTTTGATATTAATTTATTTTACACTTTTTGAATGTGGGGGACCGATAAGAAAACATTTTTTTTATTTTATTGAATAAATGAAGAGTTAATATTGTTTAAAATGTTTTGATAATTTTACACGCGAGCTTCGGACAGTCGCATCATATACGTTAAGGTTGAACTAGTCGCGGGCTCGAACTAACTCGCGCACGCGGCCAAAAAGCACGCTGTCTCACCTAGTATTGCGTTTAAAAGAGATAGAATCAGTTATGAGCGGTTAACAGCTAGTCTACACGCATACGTCCAGTTGCAGGCACACAAACACTGTACCGAAGTCTGTCGAACTGAAACGACGTCAGACGATGCACGGCTTTCAAAGTTGCACCGCTGTGCCGGTGGGAGCCCCCCCCCCCCCCTTCGGTTAAAAGAAAGAAAGAAAATATTAAAAGAAAATATAACTAGAAAAAATTTTAGCGGACCAGGCAGCAGTCAGGACTCGCACCCGCACCCTTCGCAATCCGGGTGAATGCACTGACCAATTATGCTACCGCGGCCTTCACGGACCGCGTCGAAATTCCTTTAGTAATTCTTAAGCTGCAAGGCAGCGCCATTTTTTCTTTCTAGTTATATTTTTAAATCTAAGGAAAAGTTTACTAGAAAAAAAAACCACGCGACCAGGCAACGGACGGGATTCGAACCTGCACCCTTCGCAATCCGGGCGAATGCACTGACCATTATGCTACCACGGCTCTATTCGTTGTGTCGAAATTCTTCTAGCCTTAAGCTGTAAGGCAGCGCCATCTCTACGCATTGTAGGTAACCCACAATGTCAAATGAATACTTTTTCAAGTATTAAACATTCGAAAGAAGATTTTTATTTTCTAGTAAACTTTTTTTTAGATTTAAACATCGAGCAGTTACATGCTTTAAAAAATAAAAATTACAAAACAAATATTTTTTATAAAATAAATATTTTAAATATTGTGGCAGGGTCTGTTTGGAGTTATACTCGTATAAGCTGGCGGTTGTCGCGGTGGGCGCGCCGCTTTCCTCCTTTCATACCGGCATACTTTTTAAAACTATACAATAGCTTAAAAGCCATTATTTCTAATACTAAAGTTTTCTTGGTACAATTTCTTTAAAATTAATATTAAAGTGAGAGATTTAAAAATGTAGCGAGTGTTGATTTTGAATGAAAACTAGGACTCGTTCGAAAGACTGTTTGATAAATGATAAATAAATATGCCATATAATTAATTAAAATAAATGTAGTTATAATTTTTATTTTTTAAGCATGTTACTGCTTGATGTTTAAATTTAAATCTACTGTACTCCTATTTCTTCTTTCAAATGTTTAATACTTTTAAAAGTATCCATTTGACATTATGGGTTACCTACAATGCAAAGAAATGGCGCTGCCTTACAACTTAAGAATGGCTAAAAGAATTTCGACGCGGCCATCAAGGCCGCGGTAGCATAATTGATCAGTGCATTCGCCCAGATAGCGAAGAGTGCGGATTCGAGTATCGTCTGCTGCCCGGTCCGCGTGGAATTCTTTATATAGTTATATTTTCTTTAAAATAATTAAACAAATATATACTTGAAATTAATAATAAAAACAAATTCTGTCTATTATTTATTTAAATAATACCCTTTAACCCCTTGATCTACAAACGTAGTCAAAACGACGAAGATGAGTATTAAGCGCCGAAAAATAAGGTTAGTGATCTAGTATTATAATCGGTTAAATAGTTTTAGGAATCCATCCCGGACAAACAACGTGACGCGTAATTTATATATATTAAGATATATGAGTGATGCATGCGTTGCTCCATTCCCGTATGCCTTATTTACCGCCTAATGATAAGTTATTTGAAAAAACAAAGGACAATGGGCAAAACGCACCCAGCTCCGTCAACAATGTAATTAGTATGAATCGATAGATCTATGAAAAACTAACCTTTTTTATTATGACACCATAAAAAATATCCTGGTAGTTAAAAGATATGACACCGTAAAAATATCCTGGTAGTCAAAAGATATGACACCGTAAAAATATCCTGGTAGACAAAAGATATGACACATGGACATATTTAAGTAGCTGAATAAATTCATTTTATATTACTAGCAAACCAGTGAACCAAATGTTCACCAAAAAATGGATGTGTGTAACTTATGTACGCGCGTGAGAAGTTATACTTCTTTAGCATCATTAAAAATATTTTTTAATTGCATGCAAATAATTAATAATTACAATAAAATAATAAAAGGACTGGAAAAGGATAGTTAACACAGTCAATTAAGTTCAGTTTTAATTTGAAAAATTAAATAAATATTCAAAATATTCAATTAAAATCACTACTGAATTTAAGTTATTAGTCCATATGTAATTAGCACTTGTAAGTAACTAAAACACGTTGTCTATATAGAAACTAGAAACATGTGGATAAATATTATAAATATGAAAACAGTGATCAGAGGCGACGAGCGTGCCAACATTGTTTTTGACAACGCAATCATCTTATGGAGCTCCGTGGATCGTTCAAAGTACCTTTCGAACAGATGTCTAATAATGGTGGATTATATTATTATTAGACACTAACATTCATAACGCGCCCGCGGCCAACTTCATGGTGTTACTATTGTGTTACAGTGATGCGCGCGCATCTCGAAATTTCACTCACATGATTTTTTCATAACGCGCCCGCGGCCAACTTCATGCTGTTACTTTTGGGTTACAGTGATGCGCGCGCATCTAAAAATTTCACTCTCATCATTTTTTCATAACGCGCCTAAAGAAGTATAACTTCAAAAAAAAAAATGTATTTAATTAATTGAGAACTTTGGAGATTTTGTGTGGTTTCGTTCGAAATAGAAATCACGTGATTTCTCGCAAACCGGAAGTGCTACGTACTCAAATCCGGTTTGTAGTCTTATCAGACTATTCTTAACTTATAACTTAAACATTCTCTTTATTTATCTCTTACGGTTTGGCCGCTGAAACAGCACCACAGACGGACGGACTTGTCTATTAGATAAGAGATTAGTAACCTTAATAATATGCCAGATATACAACCATATATACGACAAAGCCTGCCGACCATCCTGCTCTTGCACTTACTGAGCCACCTCAAAACGGTTTACGGGGGTTGAAGGACTTGCAGTTGCAAATACTCGACTCCTCTTACTTCGTTGTGATTGTGCGCTCCCTGCTACTTGATTGATTTATCTAACACGCTTTGGACATTGGAACACGATTATCGGTTTTGTCAGTTAGTATGGATGAACTGGAATCATGTTTACTCCGAAGCGTGGATAAGTTTGTGTGATTTGTGGTCGCTCCGTTTTACATAGAAGACAATTTACTATAACGAACGGAATGTTTGAAGAAACTCCGACCCATGCGAGGATTTTTGGATTTACTCTAGCGCGGCAGAATAACATAAGGGGGCACCTTGCACCTTGTGAAGTACTCCCATAATACGTGAGCCCGCTATGTAGGGTCAAACTGACTAACTAAATTTATTCCCTTGTTTCATTAATGTCCGTTCGTTATAGTACTTGTACCTATTTAACCTAAAATAACTAAAGACCCCCGGGATGGAATTTGATGCGCTTTGGCACAGATGATCATGACTATAATACCTTTTAAACAAATGAAATTTCAGCCGTGGCGGACGTGGGTGCAGCGGCCATACATTTTTGCCCATTGTCCTTTTACTTAAGATGTGTGCTCCGCGCACACAAGTTTTTTATTCTTATATGTGTCTGTGTGTTTGTCAACTCACCCTATTGAGGAACTCCTGGTTGTAATCCGCATGGCTCGGCAACAACACCACTAAAGCGTCGCTGGTGACCGCGGGATGCTTCAAGGCAGCCAATAGAGCCCGCCTCTGATTGTCCGCGTGTATCCGCAGCGGCCCGGATATATCCGCCCGTTCGGATATCTCCACGATGTGGGCTTGCTGGCCCACCACTGATGATAATTGGTCTCTTAACGTGGAAACTGTGGTGTCGTTGGTGTTCTGAGTGCGAATTATCACCTGTCGGAAACAATCTTAGATTATTTCATTTATTCATTCCATAACAATAATAATTGTGTCGGAGACACCTCTATACCCTAACTAAATAAATATTTTCAGCACTCACATTAATTAGCTTAGCCCCAAAGTAAGCACTGTAAGGCTTGTGTTATGGGATGCTAGGGTAAAGGATAGAAAATATATTATTATACTGTACATATATAAATATATTTATATAGAAATATATATTAGATATCCATGACTGGAGTACAAATGCTCGTATTCATCACACAAACATCTGCTCCCACCGGGATTCGAACCCGGGACCTCTCGAGTCGGCGACACCATGAAACCCGGCGTACAAACCACTCCACCACGGAGGTCGTCAAATTTTTATTAATTCCATACTTAGATTAAAACAAAAAGGGCAGATACTGTACGCTCATACTAGCATTAAATAAAATATGCTCCGGCTCAACTACATAAGAAACTTTCACACGCGCACACTTCTGTAAATAAACATTCAATCGAGCGAGCGAGACAAAACTGTACACCCCTAGCACGAACCAAAATCGAATTCGTATCGTTTGCGAGTCCGAAATGTCAATGTCAAATGAGTACTGATTTTTAGTTCCCGTTACGTCCAAAGTGGCGCTGCTGTTCAAGTTTCCATACATTCCCGCGCAGGCGCTCACACGGGAAGGTCGCGTGTACTTTGTCAGTGAAGTTTGCGTCGCCTATTAGTGCAAATAAATCTAGCGAGTAGGTAGCCGCGGCGGCCAGGTAGGCATATCGGGCGCGCCGCGTCGAGTACCTTTTTTTTTGTCAGTTGCACCTATATGTATAATAATGAATGAAACGGATACATTGAGTCAAAAAGATTGTGAAGTGAATTGTGATAAGGAAAGCTGTAAATCTGAAAATAATGAAGAATGTATTGCGTCTGAACGATGTGAATCAAAGAGATCTTTTAAGAGAGTACATAGTGATGGTAAGTCGACAGAAGAAAGTGACGGTTGGGAATGGAACGTGATAAAGAAAAAGGGAAAGAAATTAAGGCGACCACAACCAGGCGAGGATCATATGGAGTTACAAGAATCTGAAAAAAATAAATACGAAATTTATATCTCTTGCAAAGAGGCACTACCAAAACAATTCGCAATGGCACGTTTGTTTAATGATAACCATATAGCAGGTATTTGCCGAATAAAATACATAAATCCATTTAGAGTTCGAGTTGAGTTTGAAGACCAAACAAATTCAGAAAAATTATTAAACTGTGAGAATTTTATAAAAAAAGGCTGGGTATTTCACAAAGCTATGGAAGTTAGTTATTGTTACGGAACTATAAAGGACATAGAACTTGATTTAAAGGAGGAAGAGATACTGCAAAATATCAAAAGCCCAGGAAAAATTATAACTGCTGCCAAACGTTTAAATAGACGTAGTAGACAGGGAGAAACGGGATCGTGGCAGGCTAGTGAGACAGTACGTTTATGTTTCAAAGGATCGTCACTGCCAGCCTTTGTTTATGTCGATGGTCTGCGTATCCAAGTTGATCATTACGTATTCCCCGTATCGCAATGTTATCGCTGTTGGAAGATAGGGCATGGTGTAAAAACTTGTTCAGCAAAAAAACAAGTGTGTCCAAAGTGTGCCGGTGATCATGAAACCTGTGCTACGACGTCGTTTAAATGTGTGAATTGCTCAGGAAGACATCCATCTTTTGCCAAAATATGCCCAGTTTATTTAAAAGAAAAACGGTTGAGAGAGTTGATGGCAGAGTTCTCCTGTACATACAGAAAAGCCTTAGAGATGTACGTTTCGCCTTCTCCGTCTAAATTTGTACAAAACAGTAATGATCGTAAAAGTCAGTATGATTATCATTCAACAGAATTTCCAGTTCTCCAACCTCTAACAAACGTGACAATGACCGATAATTTCAAAACTACAGACAAGATGAGTTCTGATTACACAACTAAAAGCACACAAAAGAAGAAGACAGACAAAAAGAGAAATAAACGAGAACAGCGTGAAAAAGATGACTACGAGTGGAGCCGACTATTCAAACCTCAAAATGATTACGAAAGCGACGGAAGTGAAGATTTTTCTGATAACAACCATGACAATAGCAAAACAAATGAGAAACCCGTATCCTTTGAAGAGTTATTATTCCGCATAAAAGAAGTATTATTTTTTAAAAATATTGGAATACAAATGAAAATTTTTAGTATTATAAAATTATGTATAGAATGGTGTATACTGATGGCTGTGCGATATGTATCTGACTGTAGTATTATTAAATATTTATTAAATTGTATCAATGGCGGCGATAAATAATATTTCGAAATTAACACTATTTCAATGGAATGCTCAAAGTATTAAAGGTAAAGTTTTAGTTTTTGAAGAGCTTTTACGGCTGGGTAAAGTCCACATTGCAGTTGTCAGCGAAACTTGGCTTAATTGTAAACTTCAATTTAAAGTTAAAGATTACTGTATATATCGTAAGGACAGAGCTGACGGATATGGAGGCGTGAGTATGTTAGTTCATAAATCAATTAAATCTCAAAATATTGCAATAACCAGAGTAGAGCCAGGGATAGAAATGTTACATATTAAGATTTTTGATTGTGAGCCAATAGAAAATATCATAGCAATTTATTGCCCTAGTAGTGTAAGAACTACTCAACAAGGATGGAATAATATTTTTTTCATCCCACCACCTCGGAAAGTGTAATTTTGCGCTTCGAAATCTGGCTGGAAAATTCTATTTTATTCGCTTGAGCGGCAAAGTAGATTTGAATTTAGAACATCACATATAATGAGTACTCAATATAATTGTAAATTCAAAACGTCATTAAACCTATTTAATGTAACCTCTATGGTGCCAAATTTATGATTAGAACTTTTTAAATTGTGAAAAAATTTAAATTTGGAACCTTCTTGGTTTCTTTGTTTTATTTGCGTGCTTCGCGCCATTCTAGTTTTTCACGTTTTATTGCTTAAATATTTTGTCATTATAAATTGTTTTCTTTTTCATTTTGTCATTTCCTCGCTGAGGTGGGATGAAAAGTTACGTATTGCACTCGAGTGGAAAGATTTTTCACCTTGTGCTCGTTTGTTTCCCTCGCTGACGCTCAGGATTCTAATTTAGAATCACTCGCTGCGCTCGTGATTCAACTTTAGAATCCTTCGCTTGCTCGGTCATCCAAATCGAGCACGCGGTTAAAAAGGAACTTTCCACTCTTGTATAATAAATAACTATTCTGCGAGTGCATACAAAACATTAATTCTCGGCGATTTTAATGCTCACCATGTAAGTTGGTCGTGCAAAACAGACTCTAGAGGCAACCAAGTATATAACGCGTCATTAGATAGCCAGTTTATAGCGCTTAATAATGGAAGTGTGACATGGATGCGAATGACTAATGATATACTTCAAAAATCAACCCCCGATATTTCATTCGCTAGTGCAGATATTGCCCTGAGATTTGACTGGAGTGTTTTAAATGAAACCCTAGGTAGTGATCACAATATTATAAAATTATTAACAAACCATACTGTGATCAAAAAAATATATATTAAAAAAAGAAATTTCAAAAAAGCCGATTGGTCGCGTTATCACGATTATTTATATGAGTTATTTGAACATTTTACGTTTAGAAATGACTTACAGGATACTTATAACCTTTTTATATATAATTTAAATAAGGCCGCAGACTCATTTATCCCCCAAATTAAAATAAACCAGGAGCCGGAAACTAAATTTACACCTAAACCGTATTGGAATAGTGAGCTGTCTCATGCTGTAGCAGTACGTAGATTAGCATTGGCGGCATTTAGAAAAAACCCCACCCCGCAAAATCTAATTAAACTAAAAGAAAAAATTAAAAATGCACAAAATATGATAACTATTGCAAAACGTAAAAGCTTTCAAGAATTTTGTTCTTCGGTAGATAGTAATACTACGAGCAGTGATATGTGGAACAGAATGCGATGGTTAAAGGGTAGTCGTAGAATACAAGGCAATCATATAGATGATAAACATGCATGTGAATTACTTTGTTCGCTAAGTCCAGACTATTGTCCACCACCTCCGCCAGTTTTAACGACTGGTTATGACTCACCCATCGATTGCGACATCTCTATGCAGGAGCTTGAAAAATGTATTAAATCTAAGGATACATCTCCTGGTTGTGATGATGTAACGTACTCTATGATTAAAAAATTACCATACAATGGAAAAGCTATATTACTTGCTCTTTACAACAGTTTTCTGAGGCAAAATTTCATCCCAAAACAGTGGCGCAAAATTAAGATCGTACCAATACCGAAACCGGGGCGAAACCCGGATCTAGCTTCATCTCTAAGACCTATATCTTTAATCTCGTGTCTATGTAAAATTCTGCATTCAATAATTAAAATAAGGATTGAATGGTTGCTTGAAAAAAATGATACTTTTTCGCAAAACACTATGGGGTTCAGAAAATGTAGGTCTTCCTTAAATAATTTGAGTTGCTTGGTAACTAGAATACAGATAGGGTTTTCATGTAGAAAATCTACAATCGGATGCTTTTTAGACATTGATAATGCATATAATAATATTGAAATCACTACCTTGATGAGCATATTGGATGAATTACGATTAGGTACACGAATATGCAGTTATTTATGGAACTTTTTGCAAAATCGGTCTCTTGGTATACAAATAAATAACATTTTCTTAAATAGATCAACGTGTAAAGGCTTAGCGCAGGGAGACCCTCTCTCACCGTTGCTTTTTAATATAGCTACGGCAAATATCTGTAAAGTGTTGGAGAAAGACATATTTATCTCACAATATGCGGATGACTTTGCGTTATACTGCTATTGCGATGTCATTGAGGAGGGACGTTTAAAAATACAAAATGCATTAGTTAAAATCGATAACTTATTTTCTAATTTGGGGCTTTCAATTTCTCCGGACAAAAGCAAAATTTGTGTTTTTAGTAGAGGATTTCGAAGAGATAGCATAAGTATAA